CATCTGTAGTTTGTGAAGGGATTTATTGGGGAGGCCAAACAGTAGGGAGTTGCAGTAGTCAATCCTGGATGTTACTAGGCTGTGTACAAGGATGGTAGTAGAGCGGGGAGTGAGTGAAGAACGGAGATGGTTAACGTTGCAAAGATGAAAGTAGGCAGATCGAGTCACGTTGTTAATGTGGGATGTGAAAGAGTGTGGTGTCAAGGATGACACCTAGGTTCTTGACCTGAGGTGAGGGGGAAAGAACGGAGTTGTTAAGAGTAAAGAGAAGATGCTGGGATTTGGAAAATGAGTTTTTTGTCCCAACAAGGAGGAGTTCAGTTTTGTTATGATTTAGTTGGAGGAAATTGTTRGAGAACCAGTTGTTGAGCTCACTGAGGCAATCGGTAAGAGTGGAGGATGAGAAGGTGGAGTTTGGTTTTGTTGAAATGTAGAGCTGAGTGTCGTCAGCATTAGAGTGGAAATGAACACCAAATTTACTGAAGATGTGGACAAACGGGAGCAGATAGATTATGAAAAGTAGAGACCTGAGTACAGAACCTTGGGGAACACCAGTGGAGATGGGTGAAGACTGGGAACGGAAGGACTTGAGCTGTATGAACTGAGTGCGGTCAGAAAGATAGGATTTAAACCAGTCCAGTGGGGTGTCTGAGATGCTGATAGAGGTTATGCTACGTTCACACCAAACGCGTTGCGCGCCTCCAAAAATCTCAAAACGCACGCATCTTGATGCTGGGCAGACGCATTCACAGACCAGAATGAGAAACAGCAGCGGCAGCAGGGTGTGGGAGGAGCATCTGCCCTTGGCGGGTGAAATAAAGATAAAATAAAAGAAAATGGCTTTGATTTAATTACTAAAGAGCAAGCGAACGTTGCGCACAACAGATAATTAGCTCACCAGATGATTTAGAGGCGATTTGTTCGGTTAGTTTCGCCACTCCAGAAGCTGCCAGCTGACGGACCCTTTTTTTTGTCCGGACCAGCTGACCCACATCCGCCCTTATTTATCCAGCCACAAAATCCAACTGCAGATGGTCGATTTCAGGTAAAGATCTCCTGTTCGTCTGTTTCGGTTTAGTGGGAAACATTCAGGAAACTGTCACGTAGAAAAATGAGTCTCTCGGATTGGTTGATGCGACGCATCGAGCAGCAAAAGTTCAGATTTTCCAACTCAAGCGGCGGACGCTTGGGACGTGCTGCGTGTGCACTGCTTCGAGACGCGCTGCTCCAAATGCGCCAGACACGTTGCTCGGCTTCTAGACGCCCCTAGATGCGCGTCCACCATTGACTTTGCATGTAAACCAGATGCTTGTGATGCTCAAAACACGTTTGGTGTGAATGTACCATTAGTCTCTCGATGAGGATAAGATGAGAGAAGGTGTTAAAGGCAGAGCTCAGATCAAGGAGGATGAGTATTGACAAAAGTCCTGAGTCAGCAGCAAGGAGTAATTAATAGTTAATGAATAGTATTTAATAGTATTTCTGTAATACTTTTCAGTGTTTATAAGAGGACGTGTTAAAACACTGTTTCTATGCAGGAAAAAACACGCAGAGCTCAGTTATTGCTTGTTAGCAGTGCTCAGCCAATGAGACGAGGAACGTGATGTTTCCTGTTTAGTTAGTTAGTTAAACACGAAACGTCAAAGGTAATCACAACTGGCCCTTTGAGGGCCAACATAATGCTCATGTGCTCAAATGTTTGTGTTCAATTAAAGAACACATGAAACTGCGGATATCAGTTGAAATGTGATAAACTTACCTGTTGATGACTACCAGCCTATCCAAACCATTTTATTATCAGACTATTAAACTTCATGTGTAAAACTCGTTTTTTTAATCCTAAACGTTTGTRAAATTACACCAAGGACAATTTACTGTGTACTATTTTATGTAAAGAAAGACAGAAACAAAATAAGGAACAAAAGATTTGACATTACTATAACTCAGATGTCAATAAGGGGCTTAAACGAGGTTCTAACAAAGGGGTCACCTGTGAACTCAATCTTAGACCCTTTACGTTGAAATCAACAAGGATCATCCTTGACCTTTCAGTTGTTCTTCTGCGCAGTTGGCATTCCCACATTATAATAGTAAATATTTTTATAGTTTATACAACGGGCCTAAAACTTGGTTTTAACTCAATCATTCTTACAACTATTGAGCTAAAGTTTAGTGTAGTAGAGTCTAAGAGTCACCCTCAAAGTTGAAAACTAAATGAGAAAATAAGATCTTAGCTTAAGACCTTGGCATGTACAGTGATGCATGATATGCATTCCTTCAATCAATGCTATTTGTAGTTACCCTGTTGTTTAACTAGGAGAGACCCGTRGGATTTAAAATCAACAAGAACRTTCTRGCCAGGCAGCTCAAAACTGGCCTAAATTAAAAACAGACATTACTTGAAAGAATGTATATTGCTTATCAATATACACGCTAAGGTTTTAGACAAAAATCTTAAATGATATTTTAGTACTCAGAGTATGAGGTGTGAATGACTTGCTTGGACCTGTGACATGTACAGTGACAATAAAGTTGAAATGTAATCTAATACAAATTTAGTGGTCCCAGAACAGAGCCCTGCCGCATGTTCTTACTGCAAGTGCTAATAGGTCTTATTAAAACAAACAAGTCGATTGTAATTATTCGGTCAGTATGACCTTACAATTGGCCCTACATTCTTCAAAAAGAGTTTGCCTTCCATGTACAATGAGTGTCTTTCTTAATGATCGCAGGCATCAAAGAAACTCATTAGAACTGATGAAGAAACACTAGATTTATAACATTCAAACCTTCTGCTACTTCCTTTTGATATTACAGTAACATCCTCGCCCTTTTCCCCGAGCTACTTTAATCTTAACATCATCATCATTGTGTTACTGGTGAATGATGTCCAAATCAAAAAGTCTTTAGGATAATAAGAGCCTGGGAAAGCAGCATATCTGTGGTGTGAAACACCAAAAAGAAATAGAGTTTTTACTGTTCATTTCTTGTGCTACACAGTTGGGCCTTTCACACTGAGTGATGCTAATGGATGGGGCTGTGTGTTACCTAAATATTGTTGAGAGCAACGATGGTGATGACACTGGACGATGTGTAAACAGGAAGAGGTCGGAAAGCATGTTTTGTACAATATCTGCGGTCCTACACTCACCATGGTCTTTGTCCATTGCGGTGCTGATTCTCTTGCTGTCTGTAGAACTGGTTGATACCAGATCATCTCTGGAGCCCTGGMAAACCACAAAAACAAGATTCACACCCAGATACTGAGCGCTCCCTTTCATGTTTCAGCCAAGATGACTGAAAATGTCCACGACTGGGCTAAAATCTCTCTACAATGTATCAATGAATCTGATATGAACACATTCAGAATGTGACTAAGTAGTGGTTTTAAAAAAAAGTCTGAACCATTTCTTCATGTTTTTTCTATTTTATGTTTTTTGTAACTCAATAATTAATATTTATGTGTTGATCTGAGGTCGCATTTCCCAAATTTAAAAGCTGATTAAAAACCTTGATCCATAAAACCTTTGAACTGAAGGAACAGGTACTTTTCACAACAGTTTATGATCTCATCTGTCAACCCAAAGCATCGAGGTTCCTCTTTAATTCACCAAGAGCTCTTTAGGTCTTGAAAACACACTTTTCTTAGTAGTATAGAGACAAGTTTTAAAAGAAATAGCAACATGTCATAGGAAGTATTCATAACCAGAAACAAAAAACATGAACAAACACTTGACTTTTGTAAAGGCAGGACTCACATTCAGACCAAGTCCAGGACTGGAGGTCTGTGGCTGAGCAGACAGCTGCTTCAAGTTCTGATAGAGCAGCTCGTAAAGCGGGAGGTACAGCAAGCAGATTCTGGCCTGTTGGTTCTGACACAATGAATAAAACCCGATTAGCACCCAACACAATTCGAAAGTACAAATAAACACTGGTGAGCTGCGATTCAGTTTGTTAAATTGCATTTTATTTAAGTGCAGTGACCATTTTCTGACAGCCTTGAACAAATGAGTTAATTAAATCGTTGACATGTTTGATGTTTATTGTTGGTTTTCTTTTTTCTACATACACTTCATTTTTTTGCAAGAGCTTAATTTTCCTACATTTATCACATTTTTCTGCATGCACTTAATTTTTCTGCATGCACTTAATTTTTCTGCATGCACTTAATTTTTCTGCATGCACTTAATTTTCTGCATGTATTAAAATTTTCTACATTTTCTACATTTTTTCTGCATGTATTTAGTTTTTCTACATTTTTTCTGCATGTATTTAGTTTTTCTACATTTTCTACATTTTTTCTGCATGTATTTAGTTTTTAGATGTACTCAATTGTTCTACATCTGTTACATTTTAATACATGCACTCTATTTTTTACATGGACCTATTTTTTCTACATGTACTAAATTTTCTACATGTACTAAATTTTTCTACAAGTACTTAATTTTTCTACATGAATCTCCAAATATCAATAGTCTGTTAATGTAATGCAAGTCAATGTAATGTATACGTGTAGCTTGCAAAATTTGAAGCTAGCATGTTCTAAACTTTACAATTTTGAGAAAATAAGATATCTTCAACAAAGTTGTCAGTCATTATTGTTAACGACTGTTGAACACTTTAAATTTTAAAAGAGCTTAAATATAGTTGAATAAATGTAAGATATGTTATGTGTTCAAAAACTGTAGGAGAGCCCTGGCYTTGCTGAGTAATACGAAGTCATAAATGCAGATAAAAGGATTGCAGTCCACAACTTAACGTCTTTTATCAGCAGCTGATGGCAGCGGTGCTGCACTCTAAATGGCTTCTTTGCATAACAGACTGGCATCTTATTGAGACAACGGAATACTCTGTTAATCCTAAGAGCATGTGGACGCTCGTGCTATATCAAATGTTTACTTTAAAACAATAAGRTCTTGTTTCAAAAATATGCAGATTRATAATAAAGAAAGACGGTCATAAGATGGAGAGAAATTTGTTGTAAAATTATTTAAATGATTGATTTGAAATAAGAGCTGATTATTTTCCACTCAGGCTCTTTGTTTTTTCCCAAGAATAAATCCCTTTTCTCATTCTGAACAATGAGTCCTATTGAAGAGAATTTTTTGTCATTTTTGTCATTGCCGTTTACTTTAAACAGGAAGAGAATCAGCATGTTTCTATGTAACGCGTTTTTTCTCAGAAGGATAAACAAGGACTTGGTGACACATTATTGTAACAGTGCTGACATAAAAGATACTGCCCTCAGGGGTGAGACCAGGTTATGTTACTGTATGTCAGATGATGACGTTACACATGTCTGTAGTAAACAGGAAGTAACGTCACAAACTCACAGGGACACATCTGAGGACAATGGAGAGAAGTGATCAGGAACGTGTTGCTACTATCAGAAAAGTTGTAATTATTCTGTCATATCAACTAGTATTTGTGATGTTCCAACAGCTGGGATAAATGTGTTTCCGTCTCCCATTTTGCACAGTAACTTTTTTGTCAGAAAATGCAAAAAACACCTCAAGCGAGTGTAAAAATGTTTTTGCGAAATTGAGGGAGTTTTTTCGAATTTTGCCGTTTCCATCCACCTTTTCTAACGCGATACTTTAAAATGCGTATAAAAACATTGATGGAAACACGACTAGTGGCTCTAAGCAATAAAATATAAAGGATTTTAAAAGAGAATTCACTTTGTTTTCTACTAAATTATTCTGGCTACAAATTTTAGATCATATTTTCTTACACTTATTTTTGAACATCCTCATTTTATTCTCCCTCTAATGCTCTCCTCTTCCTCCAGGCCATCCTCACCTTGAATTAGGGCTGCAACGATTAATCGACGACTTATCGATTATTAAAATAATCGATGACTAATTTAATAATCGATTAATCGTTTTCTTTTTTTTTGTTCTTTACTTTGTTTTTCTCTCCAAACTGCTTTGACAGCTTCCACTGCCACATCTGCCTTTCTGTCCTTGACACACATGCACAGTAGTGGTA